GGTCCAGGATGTGCTAGCTCAGCGCAGGGGTGTCTTTAAGTCCTATTGTTTAAATATCATGAGCAGCTGAGTTTGGAAAAACGTCCATATCAGCCAACAAACTGGCTGCAAATGCACCACCTCTGGCAGTTACATCAAAATAAAGTCCAATATTAACACTGACACAATCTAATCAGCTAAGTCAAAATGAGCTAAACACTTCGCTTGTATGAAATAGGGGTTTTTAGTTGCTATTTAAATGAATAGTTAGGTATTTTGGGTTGGTTTATTTTTCTCATTGGCTTGTATGTCAAGAGTTAGATGAGAAGATTTTTACCACTTAAATGTTTCCATGTCAAAATATGAAGCTGCAGCCAGCAGATGGTTAGCTTAGCATAAAGTTTGGAAACAGGGAAAAACAATATAAATCATTACATTTTTTATTTTTATTTAGTTAATTGCAGTTATATTTTATTAATTTGACTTGATTTTGTTAGGTACACTAAAAAACAACTTGGAGACATTTTTAAAATCTAAAATGAAGTGCTACTCTTTTCAGGGCTGGTTTGAGATTTTGGGAAATACACTTATCCGCTTTCTTGTCAAGAGTTTGATGAGAAGTTTAATACCTTTTTTTTTTTTTTTTTTACCACCAGCACCTCTAGAACTCTCTAATCCACATGTGATGTCTTGTTTGTTTGTTGGTTTTGTGTGTTTGTGTGACTATTTCTTGGCGGTGAACAGTGACTTCCTGGAGTTTTGTCAACAGGATATACATTAACATGTAAATTTGTGATTTTTTAGAGATGCTGGTAGGTCCTTTTGGACAGAGCCAGGCAGGCTAGCTGCTTCTCCACGCTTTCAGTCTTGATGCTAAGCTAAGCTAACTCTGACCTGGCTCCAGCTTCATAGTTAATGGACAGACATAAGAATAGTATCAATCTTCTAATCTAACATTCAGCAGAAAAACAAATAAACTATAATCTATTTACATTTACATTTTCATGAGGAAATTTGGCCCACATTTTATATTTTAGTCATGTTTACAAACAGTTCATGCTTTTTAAAATCACAACCTTTGAATGTAACACCACTGAAGTGAACTCTCCCACCTTCCCTGATAGTCAATATGTATGTTTTGTGTCTTCCGGATCTGTTTGGGTTAGCTGAGAGATGTAAGTTTGTTATGAGGGTGGCTGAGTTCACTTGTCGTCGGGCTTCAGCAGCTCATTTCTCCTTCACCTGCCTGCCCTTGAAGCCCCACCGCTACCCGCAGAGTGCTAACATGCCCCTTCGCCAAATGGGCACCGCATCAAGCTGTGCCCATTCATTGATTTACTAATGATTCATGCTGATATTCTTCCCCAATACTGTTGTTTTTTGAGCTTTCATTCAGTTGTTATACATGGATTTAGAGGACATGCAGGATTTGAAGTTTTTATTTTTGCTGAGTAAAATGAGAACTATGCAGAAGTCTGATGCAAAACTAGGCATCAAATTATAAGCCTTCTAAAAATGGAAGTTTGACGTTGAATGGTGATGACATCTTGAATGTGGTCATCCTTAATGTAGCAAATATGCCAACAGGCTTCAGGTGCTTGTGTGGCGCTGAAGAGACAATGGTCACACTATGAAAATTATTAGGAGGGGAAGGGGTGATCAGAAAATGTTATTATCGCTGAAAGGAGACTAGAGTCTCATATTTTGTATTCTTATCCAGTATTTATGTTTTATTTTAGCCATCCCCAGTGAGATTTATCACATTAAAAAGAGATCAAAATAGTTACATCAATAAAATGCCTTTCATTTTTTTGCCTCCAAAACAAATCAACAATAGAAACTAATACGACCGATACGGCCATTTTTTAAACACAATACCTGTGGATTTTATTTTTATTAGTGACTGATCTTATCTCTTGTAGAACTGCAATTAAAATAAAAATTGTCACATAAAGTGTATAAAGCAGGTTCAGCACCACACGTTGCTACATGTTCTGCTAATCAAGTGAGAGATGAAGCACGTTGACAGTTATTCCAACGTTTTTCAGGTCACAGGCGATTTAAAGTCACAAAATTAATTCAACTGTAACCACAGCTCTTGGTTCAAACATTGAGAGTGGCTGGAACATGGTTTGGTTATGTTCTATTAAGATATTTCATTTTTAAGTCAGGGTACATCATTTGAAACTATTTACACCTTTCGTTTTAGTTTTTAATGGTTAAAGGAATAATACAACTTTTTGGGAAATACGCTTATTTGCTTTCTGGCGGAGAATTAGATGAGAATATTCATACCACTCTAATGTTTGTCAGTTTTATACGGTGGCTCCCAGGGCTCAGTGAGGAATATTTTTTTGAGGACTATGAATTTCGAATAATAACGAAATGCCGTTTCATGCGGTCCAATGTGCTAAAAACAGTCACAATAGCCTATTCAATTTACAAGACACAAAACAAAAAATAGACATGCTGGCCAGCCAAAAGAAAGAATGGCATTTATTGTTTACTGCAGCAGTCATTAAACCAAAGTTACTTTGAATCATTTGTGATTTTTAATGCATCTTCAGTAGGTTATTTTATGAGCTTTTCACTATTAGTCAGGCCCGCACAAATAAGAGGTAATTTACAGTATGACACTAGACGAGACAGCTGATCTGTATACTGTCAGGGGAGTGAGAATGGCATGCAGGGCTGGAGCATTTTAATAGTGCAACCCCAAATCTGAAGTATGTTCACCTGTATAGCCTATATCTAACCTATTTAAATAATAGCAGCATCAGAAGTAGGCTACTTAACATTAGCAGAGCCCTGATGGCTACAAGCTTCTGAAATATAATCCAGTAACGGGAGCAGCCTAATAACAGTCGGCTATGTAAACAGTGTGGAAGTGCCGTAGCAGCATGAACATTTAGCCTATAGGCTAGTGAGTGGACAGGATTGCATAATGTGAGATATGTAGCCTCCATATGAAGTCTGACATGTAGGAAACAGTGTCCATCCACTTTGACTGTTTAAGCACCAAGCATCACCGATGTAAACACAGAATCTGCTTCCTCTCGGCGGAGCCTTGCGCTCTGACAGAACACAGTGTGCCCGCTGCAGGCTCCAGGACATTGATGGGGCAGGTCTGTGTAAAGATGTCAGATGTAAAGATGTAGGCTAACAGATGAAGACAGGTTTTGAGAGGGAACGCAAAACATATTGCGAGGGAATGCAAAAGTATTGCGAGGGAATGCAAAACATATTGCGAGGGAATGCAAAAGTATTGCGAGGGAACGCAAAACATATTGCGAGGGAATGCAAAAGTATTGCAAGGGAACGCAAAACATATTGCGAGGGAATGCAAAAGTATTGCAAGGGAACGCAAAACATATTGCGAGGGAATGCAAAACATATTGCGAGGGAATGCAAAAGTATTGCGAGGGAATGCAAAACATATTGCGAGGGAATGCAAAAGTATTGCGAGGGAATGCAAAACATATTGCGAAGGAATGCAAAAGTATTGCGAGGGAACGCAAAACATATTGCGAGGGAATGCAAAAGTATTGCGAGGGAACGCAAAACATATTGCGAGGGAACGCAAAAGTATTGCGAGGTATTGCAAAGTAGTCCTCAAAAAAATATTCCTCACTGAGCCCTGGGAGCCACCGTAGTTTTATATGAAGCTACAGCCAGAAGCCAGTTAGCTTAGCTTAGCATAAAGAGAAGACTGGAAACAGCTAGCATGCTAGTGCTGGGGTATTTCTTTGCGAGTTATAAGGTGTTAATTAGTTAGCTTTAAGTAATTTTAACCCCTATTTGCAAGTCATCAAGCTCGCCGACCATTGGGCTGTGTAGTTAGGCAAATCTACGATTAATTTGCGCCAATCGTTCTGTGTGAACTAGACTACTCAACAACGCACACATCAAAAAGACACACAGACAAGTTGCTGACGCATCGCAGATACCAGACAGACATCTAGCATAGGGTGACCAGACTTCCCCGGTTTTGGTGGGCCTATAACATGACTTACTAGTGAGTTATGTGTAAAATAAAGACATGATCTCTTTTGCAGTTATCCATATGACTAGGCCTACATTATTTACCTTGCTGTGCACCAACCAATCCAGTCCTTTTTACCTGTTGACACCTTTAAATTGCCAATACAACTCATGTAATGTAGTATTCTACTTCCCAGAAAGTGATTGCAGCCTCTACTTATTGACTGAAAGGTTATTTCTGCCTTGAAATGAGTTGATTATATTCGAGTTATTTTTGACAGATTATTAAACCGAAATAGTCCCCTTTTTATTTCAAATATAATAACATTATAGTTTGACTGACCACCAAACCAAAAATGTCAGTGGTTTTCATTTCAGAAATCTGGTCACATTAATCTAGCATGCTAAATATCTGGAGCTGTTGGCCGAATTCAAGACTCCCGCTACAAGACAGCAAGTCGTGTAGTCTGAACAGCAATCTGCCAATGAGAAAAGTCTGCAGTAGGCATTAGAGGATTTTATAACGTTTCCCCCTATTTCCAGTCTTTGTGCTAAGCTAAGCTAACCGGCTGCTGTTTATAGCTTTATTTAACAAAATAATTTGAGATAGGTACCAATCTTCTCGTCTAACTTTTCACCAGAAAGCAAATAAGTCTATCTCCCAAAATATTGAACTTTTCTACCAATTAAATACTGTTATATTATTTGTTTTTGTTTTTTTTCTAAGTCAAGGGGAGGTTCCAGATAAAATATTAACAATGCTAAGGATTGTTAAAAAGTCACACATAAGGTTCAGCCATCCTCCGTGCACCAATAATTTTTATACAATCCCTTACTACAAACACAATCTCTTGACAATGTAGCTATATAAAGCAGAATCACTATTAAATTCTCTGTTTCTATTCTTAACAGCAGGTTTCTAAATAAAGATTCATATATGTCACAACCAAAAATTATATCGGATGAAACTATTTAGGCTAAATAATATTTGTTTTCCATTGTATTCATCCTGCTGTGTTTTTCCTTTGTCTGTCCTACAGGGTGAGCTGTTGAGCCCCTGCCGCTGTGACGGCTCGGTCCGCTGCACCCATCAGCCCTGCCTCATCCGCTGGATCAGCGAGAGAGGCTCCTGGAGCTGCGAACTCTGCTACTTCAAGTACCAGGTCCTGGCCATCAGCACCAAGAACCCTCTGCAGGTAACATAAAGCGAATCAGTTACAAGTTTTAACAAAAAAATGTGGTGTAAAACAAGGCATCACTCTCCCTTTTTGAATTGCAGAACTTGAACTGAAAAGCCACTCCAGCACTGATTCTGTGCCCGTTCAGATTAATCTGACTCAAGCTGCACATGGGATTCAGCATGGCTCAGTTCAATTTGGTTTGGCTCAGCCTCCTCATCAATTTCCTTACAAAACACATCCAACACTCTTTTTTGACTGGGATTGAGGGTATTGGATTAGCATCTTGTGAACAAGATGGAGAAAGTATAGAGAATATGTAAACCCCTTCTTGACATGCAGGTAAACACAAACTCTGTCATGCTCTGTCAGGTGGAATCGTTTAATCTTGCGGAGTGAATGAGGCAGGGAAATCTTACTGTGAGGAGAAACAAAATGTTGCTGCTGAGAGAAATAATAATAACGTATACATAACATACAAACGCTGTTGCATCAGACCCATCACTGTTTGCTAGAACAAATCTTGGGCCGTTGCTGTGGTGTGAGGACTGTTTGCCATATTGTGCTGACACATTTTCCCTCTGCGTCACTGTCCTTCTGCCCTCCTTCTCAGAGGCAGCCAATGGCTCAAAAACCTACTGAGAAGATGCCATATATGTGTGTGTATGTCTGACATATTTGTTAACGTAGCCTATGTATACATCATGTGCTCATATATGTAGATTTCTCTCTCCCATGAGATACAATATGGTGGGGAAAGATCCATTTACTTAAGGACTATACTTATTTATAATTTTGAGGTATTTTGAGGTCCCTTTTATGTTTCTTTATACTTCTGCTCCACAACATTTTAGACAGAAATGTTGTACTTCTTCTTTCCTCTCCCATTGGGAACCACTGGACCAAACTACCTGTTTGTAAAGTAGTTAAAACTAGTGCTACCCAATTAGCTCCAATTATTAATATTTTCAGTGATTCACAGGCATAGATACTTTCAATGAAAAGCCACAAAAACAAGTTGGGGTAAAATCACTTTACATGTAAATAGACTGCATTAAACTTTTATTTTTTACATTCTTCTGCATTAAAGATTAATATATTTGTATAGGAGCCTGTTTCATTTTTCTTGTATTTGGGGTTCCTTACAGTTTTGTACTTTTTTAAATTGGCAAACTGATGAATCAGATTTATAGATGAGTTTGTAATGAAAAATGCATGTGGGGTAGGGACAGTTGAACATTTTCTAAACAAAGACTATGAATATAAAAAAGTTGATTCACCAAAATTAACCTGGATTTTCAGTTACATTTCTTCATTTATATATAGCCAATTCATTTCAACAGAGGTTATCTCATTGCACTTTTCATATAGTGCTGGTCTGGACGTAATCTTTTGGTAAGGATTTTAAATGCAACAGCGTATGTTTACATTTTTGGTGCTTTTACTTCACTACAAGATCTGAGTACTTCTTCCGCCACTGATTTAGATGTTTTTCTCCTTCCCAGTGGCAGGCCATCTCTCTGACGGTGATTGAGAAGGTGCAAATAGCGGCCATTATTCTGGGTTCCCTTTTCCTCATTGCCAGCATCTCCTGGCTCATCTGGTCCTCCCTCAGCCCCTCGGCCAAGTGGCAACGTCAGGACCTGCTCTTCCAAATCTGCTACGGCATGTACGGCTTCATGGATATCGTCTGCATAGGTAAAGGACAAAGTGGACACCAAAATCTGAAAACATTAAATCACACAGCAGTATTATAAATAGCTTTAGCAGCAGTCATTGACAAGTTGTATAGGAATATCACCTGAAAAGATAGATGTAGGAGAAGGTTTAGGTGACAGCGTGAAGAGATGAATTATGCAATAAGAAGAGTAGCAAAGAAATCAGGGTGTGCTCTGCAACAACACAAAATATATTAATAAACATAAGTTCCATTATGCAAGGACAAACTAATATGGTGATAAAAAAAACAAACAAGCATTTCACATTCTGTTGGTTGTTAAGGTCATCCAAAAAAACACAGAAACTAAACTAAATAAGCAGATGGTGGATAGGTGGTACGCTAAAAGCAAAGCAAATTTTGATGATGTCGCAGAGAACAGGATATTTTCTTCTTGTGGTAATTGTGAGTTGCCCGCGTAAGACAACACAGAGAACAGATGGCATCAGATATCTGCACTGTGATTATTGCCAACTGTCTATTCTCATCCACAGGCAAGATGGAAAGTTCCTACCTATGATGCTGACTGCAGCTTGCAAGGCCTTTTAGCATAATATTTGATGTAAAGCATGCACTGTCCTTCACCCTGCTGCTTCTTCTTCTTCTTTCCGCCCAGGCCTCATCATCCATGAGGGATCGTCAGTGTATCGAATCTTCAAACGATGGCAGGCTGTCAATCAGCAGTGGAAAGTACTAAACTATGAGAAATCAAAAGACTTGGGCGACCCGTTGAGTTCGAGCAGCAAGACGGGGGCTCGTGGCTCTCGTGGTAACCCGCACGGTCTGGCCAGCGGCAGTGGTGGGCGACAGAGCAGGAGGTTAAGAACTATTCTGAACCACCACTGTGGATACACCATCTTGCACATCCTGAGCCAACTAAGGCCCAACGACCCGCGGATCAGCGCCGCCGCCAACCGGGAGGTGGTGATGAGGGTCACCACTGTATGAGTCGGACCAGGCATGTGTGATGGGATAGACCTTATCTTTGTGTCCAGATGTAAATGAGAGGACGGACTTATGGACCTAATAGTAAACACTAAAAACTCATGTAGGCAACAGGAGCCCTGCGAGGAGCTGGGTGAAGCCCTACAGACAGCACACACTTGAGGATTTCTCCTCTTGTTTCGTACAACAAAAGGAAAACAGATGCTCCTTTTCAATAATTAAAGAAGTGATGAAAACAGGGATGAAAAAGCAAAGACATCAAACATGACATGTGAGGCGGGAGGGGTGGGGTGGGGGTATAAACAGGCTTTATAACCTAATCCAAGACGATGAGACGTTTTTTCCAGTTCAATATCAGGATGTATCAGGAGACATTTTTTCTTTGATTTGATCCTCTTGGTTTGATTTATATCTATTCTTTCTTTTTTTTTTACTCACTTTGATTTTGTACGGACATATGATTTTAGAGGAAATCATGTAACTCCATACATGCCAGGCCTTTCCAGACAACAATGTATAATGATCTTAAAAATTTCTACAAGCTAACCGATGCTGGTAAATAGACCGAAAACTGAAACAAACAAACCAACATGAGGGAAACACAAAGGTGACAACGGAACAATAAGTCATTACAAGTAAAAGAAAAAAAATAAGAAAAAAAGAAAAAGACTAAAGAAACAATAAGATTTAAGTGACACTTAACCTTTCTGCAATAAAGAGACATATGTACATTTCACAGGGAATTTTGCATGGGTATATAATTTTATTCTTCATCACATAAGCACATGACAAATTTGCTCTTTTTCGAATGGTGCTTGCCAAAATAAACACTTTAAAAACATCTGATTTCATTGCACCAACGTTTTGTCAACATGACAAATGGCAGTGTGTTACAGCTATTTCAGCTAAAATACAGATTGTTGCTGCTGTGTGCTGATTCAGATTTGATAATAAGTTAACTATTGGATTAAAAACTGGGATCAGATGATCTCTTACTATTCAGTCTCACTCAGTCTCTTCTTCTTTTCCCCACCTGTAGCTTAAAGCATGCACGGCCTCATTGAGTATGTTGTTTGTTTTCTGGTGTGAGGTGATGTTGTTTTAGGGAAATACAATGGGACATCCTTTATTCTCAAATAGTTTTTAAACCAGAATGGAATCAATAGCAATCAGATTCCTGTTAGCAATAATTTGAGTCCTGTCTAAGCAAAAAACTTGCTTTGAATTGCTGTTTATCTATGTTTTTAAACTGAATATTTTGACAGTTCAGTCAGACAAAGCAAGATATTTGTAGAGGTCATTTGGACTCTGGGAAACTGTGATGGACATTTTTCACTTTTTTCTGACATTTCATAGACTTAACGAAAAAATCAATTTATTGGGAAAATATTTGGCAGATTAACAAGTATTGAAACTAGATCAGAGCCATATTGATACAGATATCACTAAGTAAAAATCTGCTTTAAAATATCTACAGAATATCCAGTATAAATTGTAAAGTAATAAAAAAAACAACCAAATCTGTTAATTACTATAATAAGATCACTACACATGTATTATTGAGCACCACTGATACACAAGTATATAATATTAATTTTACAAACATACATCAAGAACACTATAATGACACTTGTGGACATTTATTAGCCTCAGTGATCATAATAATGCTATACAAGCTCTATGATGACACACAAAAATCCACAAAACAATATTACAGTAATTCATTCATTAAACCTTTATTTATATTTATAAACAAGAACAGTTCACTCTCTTTTGCATAACGTTACATGCTAGCAGCTCTGTGAGGTGAGGTGGTAATAAAGCACAGCAGTGCTTTGAGCTAAATGCTAATGCTAGCATGCTCACAGGGACAAAGCTTACATGCTAGCAGGTGCAATGTTTACCATGTTCACCATCTTAGTGTTAAACACAAAGTACAGCTGAGGCCGATGGGAATTCTCATTCGTTTTTAAAGGTATTCAGAAGCATGAAAGTTTCAATGCTCCAACACACTATTGATGGCAGTCAATTCAGTAGATTTCACTCAAAACCACAAATGTCAACCTCATTGTGGCACTAGTAAAAACTGTCATTCACGTCAGATTTATTCAGCTGGTATTATGAATGCTTGTGCAAAATTATGTGCCAATCCATCAAGTAGATGTTGACGTATTGCAGGGGGTAAGTACAACCTTTGACCTGCTGGTGACGCTACAGGAAAAGTCAGGTGATCATCAAAGCCACTTGTGCTCATCTTCTGGGCACCATGAATGTCTGTAACAAGTTCACGCCAATCCATCCAATAGCTGTTTATATATTAGTCGGGGCCAAAATTGTGGAAGGAGAGACAGACTGGCATGTGTCTGCTGACTGACAGTGAGGGCCAACCTACACTCCTGAATCACTGTGATGACAGCAGGCCCGTTTCTTTGGACAAGCATAGGTGTAATATAAAACAATAAATGACGGCTGAATTCCATTTAGCTGCTTCAGATTCAGGGTCCTGGTATTATGCATGCTGACTCACTGTCATGGCTGACTGGGACACTTGAAGAGAAAGGAGCTATTGTTAAAGTTTTTAGCAACACCTGTGATTTTCCTACTATGAATGTGTGCTGTGAAAAAGGCACATAAATTCAGGTCAGGTCAGAGTTAGAGGAGGATGACTGAACTCAAGTTGTCAAAAAACAGGCAGCCTGCAAGGATCTGTCACTGTGACAAAACTGGTAAAACTCTGCATTTGGTTTGTGGTGCTGTTGCTGCTCCTGGGTCGAAATCAGACAGTATTTGTCGCCACCCAGTGGCTGCTGCTGCTCTGGTCGCCCACTCCTGCAGCTGGATGGACCATCTTCATAAAATGTCTGGTATATTATTGAATCTTTCTTTGCATATTTATTATTATTTCTAATTTTGGACCTTATACTGTATATATACTAGTAACACACAGTAGGGACAACAAGGCTTGAACAAAGATAGATAAGCATAAGCATTTAAGTATTGTGGACATACAAGTAGGTAAAAAAATAGGAGTAGGCCTATATATAATTATATATATTTTTAAAACAACAATGACCAACAATATACAATGTCTATATACAAGTCAAGTGTTTCTGTAAATTGTAAACAATTTAAATATACAGGCTATTTGGCCAGCAAAGCTGATTATGTTATAATCTGAGACTTTTATTGTGAAAGTATTAGAATGTATTAGAATGTATTTAGAGTTTATTATATTATTATTATTTAATGTGACGCTATGAGACATGTTTATGAGTGTTTGACTTGAGAGTAGTTTTATAAAAATAACAATCTGTCTTATTTTATTTTGATAGTCTGTAGCTCTTGAGTTTCGTTTCCTCCGGGTCCGTCCAGGATCAGGCATAAACCGGGTCACGTGATAGAAACAAAATGAACAACGGGTTTATGTGTTAAACATTGCAGGTGTATGTGACTTTGCCCTCGGGTATTCCCCACCTCCTCCACCTCCTCCTCTTCTTCCGCCACCTCCTTCCTTACCTGCCCGCTGCAGAGGGACGATGTCCAACCTGCCGGATGATCCTGCTCTCTATAAACTTCGCCGGAAACACCCAAGAAGTGAGGGGAATAAAAAGTGAATCACAATACCGGAATGTGGCACAAAAAAGTGTGCTGCTTGTTTCGTCTGATGTTTTAGACGTTTTTATAAAGTTTACCACCATAGAAGAAGATGTTTTCCTTCCTGCGCTCAGGTGAGTTCTGCGACTGCAAGTGATGCAATCTGACTGTTTATCTTAATTTCTTTATAGTCAGATGTTGCGTGAGATATTTCATATCACCCCTGATTATATATATATTTTTATTTTAACATTTTAGGCAGTGGTTGTAAGTAACTCCATAGATTTACTTAAATACTGTACTTAAGTGCAATTTGTCTTGACTATTTTCATTTTCTGCTACTTTACTTTTGCTCCAATACATGTATTTAATAAATGTAGTTACTTTGCAGATTAAGATTAATAATACAAAATATAATCAACAAATAAATGATAATGTATAAATATGGATAATGTTAAAACTTTATTAATCCCTTGTTGATATACAAGCTACCAGCAAACATCAGCTCCACCTTTACCCTTTGCAACATTAAAGTGATGAACACATTACTGCATCAAAAATTATGATTTTGTAATGTACTATATGTTATTCTGCGGAATAAGTAGGCTACTTTTACTTAAGTAACAATTTTGAATGCAGGACTTGATTTTAAAAAGGGTTTATAGTGTAACAAAATTTGTGTTGATCTTATCATGCTTAATAGCAGATATCATTTCCTGTGGTATATTATCCCCATAAAGTTCTCACAGGAACCTGTGGTGCAATGTACATTTATTGAAGTACCGTACAGTAGTACAGTATTTTGATTTATTGTTAATAATATTGAGGTTTGAACTGTTGTTTGGACAAAACTAGCATTGTGCATATGTCACTTTGGGCTCTGGGTAATTGTGACGGTGTTTATCACTATTTTCTGAATTTTTACAAACCAAACAATCAGCCAATCAAAGGAGAAAATCAGAAAAGGAGTTGCATTTAAAAACTAGCTCAACCTCAACAACTGCAACTGTAAAATCCTGCTTTTACATGAATACATGAGTAATAATAATCTAGTGATCCCAGGGGACATTTTACAGTGCATGACTTCATGAGTTTACAGTGTGTTTTTTGTACTTTTACCTAAGTGAAGGATCTGGATACCTCCCCCACCACTCACAGGAACCTTCAGTGGGGACTCAGCAGCGAACGAGAAGCTAACCTGATGATTATGTGTGCAGTTCTTCTTCTATGTTTAGAAGGATTTAGTTTTGTTTTCACTGGGATCATGTAAGTGACGCAATCCCTCTATAATTACCTGTTTGCTTGCAGCCAGAGACCCCCCTCCTGAGAACATCCACATCTCCTCCCTGCCTCCCAGTATTCCCACAGATCGAGAGCCCGAACAAACTGGAGGACAAGGTAAGCACGTTTTTGTTTTGTACACAGGTACGACGAATTCCCTCTACGTTGGGAGACTTGGCTCCTCTGACAGTGAAGCAGCATGCTCTTCTTTTTCCATTAAAACAGAGCAAACTTGACATTAATTAAATCATGAATATTTGTCGGTCCAGACTGAAATACCTCAACAAATATCAGGTGGATTGCCATGAAAATTTGCAAAGATATTCGCAGGGGGACTAGAGGGTAAACGCTGATGACTTAAGTGATCCCCTGATGTTTCCTCAAGCACCACCAGCAAATTGTTCACTTGACATCTACTAGATGGATAAGCATAACATTTTATACAGAAATTCATAGTTCCCAAAATATTTTGACAACAATCAGAGCAAATTGCTGTAATTTTTAAAAACGGTTTGTCACCATCATCAGGTGAAAATTTTAATTTGCTGAATATTTTAGTATATGGCAAATACTTTACCTACAAAATAAACATCTATCTATCTGTCTATCTATCTATCTATCTATCTATCTATCTATCTATCTATCTATCTATCTATCTGTCTATCTGTCTATCTGTCTATCTATCTATCTATCTATCTATCTATCTATCTGTCTATCTATCTATCTATCTATCTGTACATCCATCTACTTACCTACCTACAATAATGACTTTGCTCTGCTAATGAACAGTAACTTCTGCTTTACAATACAGTTGCCATCATCAGATGTAAACCTGGAAGCAAAGTGTGTGTGTTCCCCAGATTCCTTTACTCTGGAGTTTTGTGTGTCTACTGCAGTGTATATTTGTTGCTATTTACAACATGTTTTGAGCAGGTGACATGGTGGAAGAGAAAGCAGTGATCAAGACCACACACACGCACAGAGTCTCCGCACCGTCGGTCTTCCTCCAGAAACAAGATAATGAACCTGTTTCTAGTACTTACTTTGATCAGAGGGTCCCTGTTCCTGAGGAAAACAGTGAGGTAATCCATGAGTCCATGAGAATATATGGATTACTAAAAGTGAAGATAAAC